GGAAATAGTTGTTAATCATCGTGTGGGAAACAATGAGACAATGCGTTTTGTGTATAAATATGGTCCGAATACATCATGGTCCGATGTAACAAACAGTATAATGATGATATCAAACAGAATTAAAATTTGATACTTAATTTATCGCGCTTTGAGGTATTTATGTGTGCCTTAGTCCAACTTAATGCGACGATTTTTCTTACTGGCCCAAGCCTCTACAGCTTTCTTAAATGGGTATTCTTTTAGTGTTGGGCCTTCAATTACGATTCTCATGATCGCATCTAATGTTTCTTCCTTCATTCTATTTTTTTTGTTTAACCATAGCACCGCTAACACGCGAATTGACACTTTGCGCTTGCTGCTGCCAGGGTAGTCACGTGATCTGTATGCGGTATAAAATCAAAACATTGGATGCGGGAAAAGCGAAATTGTACAGTAATCATGAACAGATGCTCTCTGGTTAAGTAATATATTTGAGAATATATATATGAAAACTAATTCAAAAATGTGCCTGTAGTACAGTATATAACTGGCATGTAACACTTTGTCGCTGTACATTAAAAAAATGTTTGCTGTAAGCTGTGATTTTATGCTTTATTCTTAGCCTTCCGACCAGTGATTGCCACGGGTCGCGTAGCGCACAGCGTACGGGAATCATTCACCATCCCCATAGGCTAGGCCTATATATATTCAAATTTATATATACACATATGATGTACATTTAAAATGTATATTTACTTTATTTTACACACGCACACGTATCATATAAATCATATATCATATATATATATATATATTCAGGGTATATATACCCTGATTTTTAAGTGGATAATTATAATAAAGATCAAAAAACACTTCCAATGACTGGAAGTGTTTCTATCATTTTTCCCTGTAAACTGTTGGTAAACATTTTTTAAATACACTAATTTCTATGTTCAAGTTTTTATGTTATCTTAAAATGGGAAAGTTAATTTCAAAAATTATTTTTACATTTTTTTTTTTTGGTATTTTGCAAGGGACAATACATCTTTAACAAAACAGATGATGACAATGACCACGAGTGTAAGAAATTAGACATTCCCAACATATGGTTCCTTAATGATCAGCTCTGGCAGGATGGCCCACCCTCACAAAATATTGTTGAAATAAAAATACATAAATAAATAAATCAGTTCATATCCAACGAAGTTGTGCAAGACCAAAAACTTACCGTGCGTTTATCAATTATGAGTTAAAAGTGAAATCCATTTTTTCATAATTTAATTGCCACTCTGCTTTGTTTACATTCCTGTCTCAAAGTTGACTGAAAGATTTGATTTAGAGTAGCAGGTTATTAAATGTGGCAAAGACAAGTCAAACCAGTCACTTGTTGCAAATATTGATTCTTAGTTATTAATACAGGGTTAAATAGTACAATGAGAGCTATAAAATGGTTAAAGAATCATTTAAATCCGACATTTAGTTATGAAGTTACAAGAATTTAAACATACAGCTGATTAACGAACAATATTTGAGAAATCAGCCTTCAAAGTTTATGATTTCAAGCATTTCTTAGGTAGAAACCATCACCAAATCATTAAAAATTGTTGTTTTAACATTAAAATGAGGAAAATAACAGCATAGCATGATATAAAGGTGGACGTAAACTCTGCCATGAAGGCTTTATGTACACAGTACAAAAATCAACTATATCATATATATATATATATATTCAGGGTATATATACCCTGATTTTTAAGTGGATAATTATAATAAAGATCAAAAAACACTTCCAATGACTGGAAGTGTTTCTCTCATTTTTCACTGTAAACTGTTGGTAAACATTTTTAAATACACTAATTTCTATGTTCTAAGTTTTTATGTTATCTTAAAATGGGAAAGTTAATTTCAAAAATTATTTTTACATTTTTTTTTTTTTTGGTATTTTGCAAGGGACAATACATCTTTAAAAAACAGATGATGACAATGACCATGAGTGTAAGAAAGTAGACATTCCCAACATATGGTTCCTTAATGATCAGCTCTGGCAGGATGGCCCACCCTCACAAAATATTGTTGAAATAAAAATACATGAATAAATAAATCAGTTCATATCCAACGAAGTTGTGCAAGACCAAAAACTTACCGTGTGTTTATCAATTATGAGTTAAAAGTGAAATCCATTTTTTCATAATTTAATTGCCACTCTGCTTTGTTTACATTCCTGTCTCAAAGTTGACTGAAAGATTTGATTTAGAGTAGCAGGTTATTAAATGTTTCAAAGACAAGCCAAACCAGTCACTTGTTGCAAATATTGATTTTTAGTTATTAATACAGGGTTAAATAGTACAATGAGAGCTATAAAATGGTTAAAGAATCATTTAAATCCGACATTTAGTTATGAAGTTACAAGAGTTTAAACATACAGCTGATTAACGAACAATATTTGAGAAATCAGCCTTCAAAGTTTATGATTTCAAGCATTTCTTAGGTAGAAACCATCATCAAATCATTAAAAATTGTTGTTTTAACATTAAAAATGAGGGAAATAACAGTATAGCATGATATATAGATATGTAAAGGTTAGTTTAGTGAAATAATAGATTTATAAAATGTTGACATTTCAGCATGTTTTGGCCATTATCTCCAAAACAGGATTTGCTACGAGTGACTGGTTTGGCTTGTCTTTGCCACAAATCAAGATTTAAAATATTTATTTGATTATTCCAACAGATTTGAACTTCCTGTATCCGTATCAAGTCAAGCATACTACCTAGCGCTACATCACATCTGAATGTATCGTGTATCGTGCACTTACTAATGTTACTGGTGTTGCCATCTCCAAGATGTTAAGCTATGGTATGCTAGTGTTGATGACTGCTGCTCTTGTTGGCATTCAAACTTGTCAAGGGACTGAAGGTGGCCATTGCCCAAGGAATGATTGTTCTTTACCGGTTGGTTGATACTTTCTTATTTTTTTCAGGCCTACAGTATAGTTGGTCCATTAATTACTGGTATTTTTTAAACAAAATGTGGATCGTCCAAATTTCTCTTATTGACTTATTGTCCTGTCCACACTCTCAAATTTTAAATGTAGTATGCCCATATTTGGGTGTAATGTGACATCATCATGCCCATATATGGGCACATCACACAAGTTTATCACATATAATTTCATAGTGTGGATAGATATGAGCACTTCATGTACACGTTTTTGAAAAACCTGAAGACATTCCCCATTATATTTTACTCATTTTCTGAAGCATTTTTATCAAATTTATGATATTGATGTTTAAAAAATACAGATATGATTTTAATCAGATGTTTGCTTACCTATAGTGATCCTAAACTTAAGCTCTGGCCTCACTATCAAACTTATGACAAATAAATGTGATATGCCCATATATGGGTGTGATATGGCATCATCACACAAATGGCACATCACACAAGTTTGTCTCATAGAATTTGATAGTATGGACACAACTCCATGTACAAGTTTTTGTTTTACTCATTTTCTGAAGCAGAATTAATCAAAGAACAAATTTATGGTTATTTAATATTGATGTTTAAAAAATACTGATAAGATTTTACTCAGAAGTTTGCTTAGCTTGTCCACATATCAAACATTATGTGACAATGAGATATACCCATATATGGGTGACATCATGTTCATTTTTGGGCACACAGCATACAAGTTTGACACACAAAATTGTTATAGTGCGAGCAGAGATTTAGTGACTGAACCAAAGAGTTTTGTCATTTAAACAGTTGTTGATTGTGTGCAAATAAATAAGTCTTGTTTAATTTATAGATAGTTAATGGTAAGTTGTTGGTTGTTTGTGTTTCAAATTTTATTACATATTTGAACTGTCAGAACAGGATCCAGAATCGCTTTCACTTTTGCTTTTACATTAAATTTTGACACTCAGCGCTATAAATACATGTTTATGGATTATAGATTATAGAAAAATAACCCATATCTCCCAGCTACATTGGGCGGAATTGCGAATGGGTGTGGTTTGTAACTACCTACTGTAGCCACTGAAAAGAGGCATTTATTATAGAGCTTCATCATAGGATGTTAGGAGTATATTTAATAATACTCAATCATTTATAAGGCGCCAATTCCAAATTGAATGATCAAAAGCGTGAGTGTTATTACCCCTGGTCACTGGATAACGTGCAATGGCAAACCAGCACAAAGTGCAACTTTCTCTGCTCTCTGGGGAGTACAGTATCCCCAGTCGTTCGCTACTTCTTCAGTGCATGAAACTAGAACATTCAATGCCACAACATCCTACCAGGTACCCATTTATACTCCTGGGTAGAGAGAGACAAACGTAGATAAAGTGCCTTGCCCAAGGACACAAGCAACTTGCACACCAAAAGTTTCGAACCCCGACCTCAAGGTTGGGAGTCCAAGCGACAATCGATGCGCCAACCAATGTGTAACACGCCAAGGATTACCCAGTCCAAAGACTTGTTTCCAGTGGGGTCCTTGTCGGGGTGAATTGGGCAGTACACCGGTAGACAATCTCCTACTCTTTTCCGAAGAGTGTACTTCGTTCTTCAACATGCACATGGGCAAGGGTTCTTTAACTTGTGCACGAGCCAGATGTACACGGGACCTCCATTTTAAGTCATTATCCAAGAAGACTTGTTTCTACCTACCGAATCACTCAAAGTATAAATCAATTGTAAAACACCACTTGGATTTTTCTCTCTCAAATGAGTAAATTAGCAGTGGTTTAATAGTCAACTGTTTATCAGTCAATTGTAGATAATATAGACCTCCCCCACACTATCTAGATTCAAACTAATAATTTGTAAAAAAACTCAGAAAGATTCTGAGTAACTGCCTCCCTTAATAAAACCACGCTATAGAATGTGTAATTGATCTATAATAATAGGAAATATAAAAGGTTGAAGAACAGCTTGTTCCATGACTGTACTAGCAATACATAATAATGTAATATGTCTGTAAATTGGCAATCTGCTGCTTGTAACATTTTTTAAACACAGGCACATCATTGGCTTTGAGCCAGTCTCTAATTGTTTCACCAGTATTTAGTAATAACATTATGTTATATATCGCTTATAGTAATGCCAACAACCCCGCTAAAGACTTCTCTTTATTACCCCCCAGTCATTGGATTAAGCACATTAAGCCTGTGACTACTTTAGCAACCTCCCTAGAGAGGTACTAAGTTCACATCATTCCTCAACTATAAGGGCCAAAGTGAGGTGAACCTTAGTATGGGAGTAAAACACTCCTCATTTTAAAGAGACTCACATCAATCCCAGAGGGCAAACCTGTGAGCTTACAATCACATACAATAAGAAACATAAAAAAAGGATAGATTAAATGCCAATTTAAATAAGATTAACCAACAAAAAACAAGTTGGATACAATCAAGTCATACAAAATCACACGTCCACAATGTAAAATTATATTAAGTCCAGCAATAAAATTCTTGCAACCTTAATAAAAATATGAAGGTTAAAAAAAAAAAAAACAAGAAAAAGTTTGTGATATTATGAATCAAAATCAGGCCAACAGCACAATCACTGATGATTAAATTTTCAGATGTTATACAATTTAAGTACAATATTTATAATAATTATTAAAATCGTTACTTTAAATTTATTAAGAGTCATGATGTACCTATTTACAGTATGTGCCTATTTATGGTCATGCTACAATGTCATCATGAACATATTTTATCCATGTCACATGCTTTTTTGTCAAATAAAATTTGATAGTCTGGACGAATACCAGACTCTGCCTATTAAATTTAAAAGAGAAAAAGTGTATCTAATTTCTGCTAACAAACATACAATTAACAATACCCTGAAAATTGCTGCATGTCCAAAGCACTTTTAGAGCGGTTTACCACCATACACTATCAGAGGATAATATTACAATAACTAGAACAATTTCTGACATCAATCGTGACACCTACATCTTTGTATGGTGCGATCATCACGCCTTTCTTTTCCAACTTCTTTTTTGCCCAAAAAGTTATAAATTGTCTCCATTAATATTATGTTCCCTATTTTTGCAGTGATAAGCGACTGCCAATTATTATGTTGACCTGTTTTTTTTATGCCAACCCCTTTTATATTGTTTAGAAAAATGTTTTTTTTGAATGAAAGGTTGATTAATGCTGTACATACAGTATAACAATGTATGGATTAATATTTATGAGAGAGTCATGTTTCTGTAATGCATAGTATTTGGCAAATGCTTGTCCAGGGACGGATCCAGGATTTGGAAGAGGGGGGTTCATATGTTTCCAAAAACCCCAAAATGAAATTGGGGGCGAGGGGTCCTCCCCCGTGAAAATTCCTAGATGGATTGAAATGTGCTTTCCCGACTTCTGAGGAGTCTTTTAATGACCTTTAAGTTCTTCCAAATTAAATGTTTTTCCCCTCTTGAAAAAGGTCAGTTAATTTTATCTATTCTTTAGGCCAATACATAGAGAAAAAAAAAACAAAGACATAGGAAATATATTATTATATTCCAACAATATTAAGTAGTTGGATACGTAGTCTTTCTTCCATTGAACGATGAACCTATAGGCCCGAGGAACTCACATTCCTACATAAATTACGACGTCAAACCATTAACAATGTGTATTTTGTATTTAATTGAAGGCTAGTTTGGGGATAAGCCTAGTTTGTCTGATCTGCCAACCTATGCCTAGGTAGGTAGCATGCCTCTTGTAAAGCCAGGACCCAGTAGTATTTTGTAATGTTTCTTTGCGGAGGGTGGTTCGGACAAAAACATGTGACATGCCTAAATATGGTCATGATGTCATCACATGTCAGACCATAGGCACATCGTGACTATACTGTAGCATATACAACAGTTTCTTTGTCAAAGAAAATGTGATAGTCTAGACATGGCTTTAAGGCATGTAACAAATACTACAGCTTTTTCTCATGATTTGAATCTATACTATTGTACAGTATTAACAAAGTATTAAAATTGTTTATTTGATTATACCCTGGTATTATTTATGTAGGGGAAACTAGTCAGACAAAGAATGAATGGTCAAAATGTTGGCATTCGACATAAAAACAAAGACAGGCCTATGGCTAATCATTTTAATTTTACCAGCTTATAACATAACACATTTCAAAGTAGCTGTGCTTCTCTGTTTATTTGTTTTAAAAAACAGAACAGATAGATTGATTGCTGGACAGACAGAAATTTGATCTAGGCTTTCTCTTGTCATTACAAAATGTAATTTGTAAATACATTTCTGTACAGGATAGAATTGCTTGAATTGTTTATTTATTGTTTCTGCTGGTCATAACAGTACTTATCTTATTTTACTTTGTTTTTCCCTAATTGAAAGCCTAATTAGGTATGCATATTGTTTGTCTCTGTGTTTGTTACACTTCACACCACCTGAAGAAGCTGGCATTGACTGCCAACGAAAGCTTGTGTCTGATAAAATTACATCATTAAAGTTAGTCGTAGAGTGCTGCCTCATCATTACCTGTTGTCAATATTTGATCACCCTGTAATTGATTACAGTATAGTTACGTATCTCATCGTATCTCAAAAAGGCGCCAGGAGTCGACTTTTCAATTATTTTTCGAGGGGTGTTTCTCGTGTGAGAAAGAATAGGCAATTTGTCGGTTTATCCAGGTAAGTATTCACAAAGTAGACAATTATTGTTTTACTTACTTGGTTTCTATTTTATTCAGGTCCATTGTTTATCCATCCTCCATAGTTTATATGGGTTGTAAAGAGAATTATATACAGTAACTATATTGCCACTATAGTACTTAGAATCTAGTGTACAATTATACAAATACTGTATTTCCTTCCTATGTTGATAAAACATTAGTTTTATAATAAATTGTTTACAGTAGTTATTGGTGGTGGCGCTGCTGCGCTAGTGATGTGTAGTTCACAGCTGTGGTTCAATGTGGTTGATGA